CCAACCACTCCACCCCTCAACGGACTCGTTGGTGCGACGGGTGGTGCAGATAGACAATAACATGTCACGCTTGAGCATCGTAAATCAAAAATCAACTTTATGATGGCCATTGGCATCCGCTCGGGGCGCAAGCCAAATGCCCAGCCACTTGCCTGCTAATATACCCTCAAATACAACAACAACAACAACAAGAACAACAACAACAAGAACAACAACAACAAGAACAACAAATCAAGATTACAAAAAAATAAACATGAGCAAATATTTATATAGAAATCCGTTCATAAATGAACATCCCAACCACACACGCCCGCGCCCACCCACACCCGCCCACTGCCCGATCTGTGCCTGCACCACGTAGCCACATGAATCGGAAATTAAAAAGGAAATCTCTCGTGTGTAAATACAATACTGAGTGGCATCTCCTTCTTCTCCCTCTTCTTCTTCTGCTTGTCTTTCGGCCCCGCTTAAGGCTAACAGCTTTCAATACTTATCTGCGCAAATTGACTGTGGTTTCATTTTCTGCCGGCCTATGGGCAGTTCAAATTCAGTTGACCATGATATATATATACACATATATACGTACCTGCAATGGAGATGAAAGAGAAATCTTAGTAAACTTGACCAGGCATTGGGAAATATATGTCAGGGTGTATGTGTGTGTGTGTGTAAGTATTAGACAAAATTATGCTGAGTGTGGGCAAAGTCAAGAACTTAACATAAATCTCAAATATGTAAACAAAAGCACACACAAAATCTGTAAATATTAAAGATTAGTCAGTTATATGTAGAGCTTGTATTAGGCTCCTGTGTAGAGAGCTTTAAGACAGCTCACACAGGAGCTTTAGCGTATGGCCAGCGCGGAGTCAGTTGTCTCTTAACTCACTCATGAGCTTTAATGTAATTGTGTAAATATTTATACCCTAGAGTAGCTAGCTCACATATAAGACTTGGGGTATGGCCAGAGAGTAGTTAGTCTCTTAACTCATGAGCTTTAATATAATTGTATAAATGTTTCGGAGAGCTTTGTGCTGTTAGAGCTTAGATTAGACCCTAGAGTCGCTAGCTTTAAGGGAGCACATACGAGAGCTTTCTTATGGCTATAGTGTAGTTAGCGGTCTCTTAACTCATTCATAAGCTTTAATATAATTCTATACATGTTTTGGAGAGCTTTGTAGACTTATAGCTTAGGTTAGAGTCGCTAGCTTTAAGGCAGCTCACACGAGAGCTTTCTAATGGCTGTAGTGTAGTCAGCGGTCTCTTAACTCATTCATGAGCTTTAATATAAGCTAAATTAGCTAGTTTTAAGGCAGTCCACACGAGAGCTTTGGCTTTAAATTTGTCAGCATTTCAGCAGCTCAGTCTACATATTTACAATATTTACATTTTAATTACAAAGACTTTAAAGTCCCTTAGTCTATATCCAGAGTGCCTTGGCCTTAAAACTAACGCTCAAAATAGCTTTTTAATTTGCAGCTCGACATGCAATAAATCTCACTTAAAGCTGCAAGCGCTTTGTCCTCACTTGACGCAGCTGTGATTTGATACGATAACAACGATTCCGTCAAAAGTATAAAATCTATGTGCCGGCTAACTTTTCCAGATATGTCTAACAGAGACATAGGCAAGAGGAAAGCGAAGAAAGAAAAAAAAGGAGAACAAATAACTAGCCGCTTAACTTGGCTATCCATCAGAAAGTTGTGTCTTTTTCAGGCTGATTAACTTGCATGCCTGTCGCAAAACTCATAATCATCAATCTATCTAAACAAGTTTGTACAACGGCTTAACCATATTTGGCAACAGCGGCTGCCACACCCCCAAGCTTAGCATTTCGCCCGCTTACAAATTGCCCACAATTGGCCACACTCGGGCGACACTCAGCGTGAAGCGGTTGTCGTCTGTCCTCGAGGCTGTCCGGCTGTCCGGCTGACTATCTGGGTATATACGGGTATCCACCAACATTCGTATACAGGAGTCGGCGTTCGTTCGTCCTGTTCGCTTAGCTGTCAGTTTGGGCAACAGGACACTTTGTTTGAATGTTATTTATGGGCTACTTTTGTTGTAATTCAAGGAAATCGCTTGGCTGACTCGCTTTTTCAACAACAGCCGCCATAATTTATACATGCGTCAGCCGAAACACCCTGTGCGCCTCCTGTCACAGCACAGCACAGCCAGCCGTCCAGTCAATGACCGCGCACCGCCTGTGAATTATGAAATGCGGTTCCACTCTCTGCTACCCACGGTTAACCGAGCCTCTTTTCTAATTAGGCTTAAAGCCGCAAGACCTCGCCCACATCGCAGGGGCAGACACGTGTCGGGCTAAGATGATAATGCTAATAGGGCTAGGCAAAGCTCAACGAATTCATCGACTTCAATGTCGATTAGCCCGATTACGAAATGATATGGCCAAAGGCTGCAAGCCAAAGATATCAATATTTATCGATAAGTAGCCCCAATTTAATTGGATGATAATCCAGCTCCATTTGTCAGTTCCTCGGCTCATTTGTAAGCATATCTATAAAAGGAAGATCATGAGCTGCTTTGCCCTGACTCAAGCACTCGCGCAAGCAGTTTGTTATGCATTTATCGATATATCGATAATTAAAGCAATCATTATTTCTTTGGTTAAATATTTAGTAAATCGCCCAAACTGAAGCAAACGAAATGAAACAAAAGACAACACGAAAAAAACAATCAAAAAGACAAACAAACAAACAATTGATGTAGGTTAAGAGAGAGCGCCTTACCCATCCGCATAGAGACCAGCGGCTGCTCCACTGGCGCCGCCGCCGCTGCCCGTCATGGCGAGCGCCTTGTAGCGCGCCTGCTCGTCGGTGGGCAGGACAATGTCCACGGAGCGGGATCGGGTTGCATTGATGTTGGGCACGGTAAGGAAGCAGCCGTCGCCGGTGGGCTGCAGCTCCTCGGTCTTGCCGCCCGACGACAGCTTCGTGAAGCACGAGTCCACCGAGGCGGCACGATCTCGCTTCAGATCCGGCACAGTTAGATAAATGTCCCGCACCACGAAGCCGGCGTGATGAGCAGCCGTAGCGGCGTTTGCCGCAGCTGCCGCATTGGCGGCCGTTGGGGAGCCGCAGGTGGCCATCGTGGAGGCTTCGTCCAGCGAGTCTGCCGTGTCCACCGACGACTTGGTGTTGTCCACCTCCTCGTGCGACACATTCTCCAGCGAGTTGCCGGTGGGCTCCACAAATATCGCCTCCTGCCGCGATATGGAGCGACGCCGCGCCCGGCCCGGTGGCACGCCCATCGCCACGCCCGTTTCATCCACATCGCCGCTGATGCAAATGGGGCTGGCGTTGATGGTGGTGGTGCCGCCGCTGCTGCCCGCCGCGGGCAGCGACAGCGCCGCAGCTGCCGCGGCGGCGGTGGCACTCAGCTGCAGATGACTGGCAGCCGAGGGCGGCAGCTCCAGCAGCGGGCTGGAGCGCACCACGGCCGGCGTGGGCGTAATGGGCGTGATGGGCGGCGAGCTGGGGTCGATGGGAAACGCATAGGTCGGAAATGGCGGATAGTCGCCGTTGGTGGGCGACAGCGTAAAGGTGATGCCACAGGGCGTGGTCGGCTGTGGCGGCAGCAGCGTGTTGCCGAAGTGCGGCGATCCGTGGTCGGAGCCCTCGAGGCCCTCATCCTCGGAGGTGGTCACCGAGCTGCCGATCGTGTGGCGACGCATTTGCCGTGGCAGACGCGCCCTCGACTCCTCAATGCTGCTGCCCATGCTCAGGTTGGACATGCGTATGTCCATCTCGGCGGCCGCATCGTCATCGAGCTCTGTGCCTCCGCTGGCATCCGCCTCAGCGCAGGCATCCGCATCCGCATCCGCATCTCTATCCCCTTCCCTATGCCTTTCCGCATCGGGCTCTGCATCGGCGTCTGCTGGCCCCTCCGCCCCATCGTCTTCCTCGTCATCCTCGAGCGCTTCGGTAATGTCCTCCTCGTCGCTAGCCTCCGAGCTGGTGTTGCTGTAGCTGAGCGTCGACAGCTCGCGATGGTCAATGAAGTAGCGCTGCTCGGCGCTCATCTGCTTCTCGTACTGCTCCAAATAGTAGCAATGGATGCAGGGCGGCGGTGTTTTGGTCGACGAGCTGCGTCGCGCCTTCAGACGGCGCGGCACCTCCAAGAAGGCGCCCGAATCGTCGCTGCCCACCGAGGCAGCCGCCGAGTCGAAGCTGTGCGAGCGTTGCGCATGCGCCGCCTGCGGCACCTGCAGATAGCCGCCCTCCGATGATCTCTCGTCCGCCGACGAGGACGACTGCTGCTTCAGCAGATGGGCCGACATGCGCTGCGCCTCCAGCTGCATCTCGTCGAACGAGGCGGAGCGCACCTACGAATGAACAGCACAAGCACGCGACAAATAGAGAGGGAGAAAGAGAGAGAGATAGAGAGAGAGTAAAACATAGCTGCTCATTACTCAGGGACAAAGACACCGAGAAGTCGAGAAAGAGGAAGGAGGGGCTACCGTTATGCGGGCCCAACACAAAATCACAGAAACAACAACAAAAGCGATAAGTTATCGAACATGCAGCACTGCCAATAGCTGGGATTAGTATGCTGCAGGTTATCGATAAGAAAACGAAAAGCTTGGCACAAGTTGCAAAAAAATAAACACTCGATAAACGATAACAAATTTTAAATTTAAACAAAATCGATAACAGGAACATGCACAGAAAATAACGATAACACAACACAATAACTATCGATTATACAGGATCAGTTATCGATCGCTTCAATATATCGATGAGCTGATATGTGAGCCGTTATCGATTGCGATAACTCATCGATAGCTCAACTTTAAGCGAATTCAGATAATTAATCGATATATGAGTCTGCTGTGGACATTGTACCTGCTTTGGCACCTCGAGGCTATTCTGCATCTTCATCTCGGCGCCCGTCGGCGTGCGCGAACGCGTGAATGTTGTACGTAGACGTTGCATCGCGATTCTTTGTTGTTTGTCAGTTGTTGTTGTAGCTGGGAGTTGTTGTTCCTGCCGGTTTGTTGATTGTTGCAGTTACTATTGCCGACTTAGTAGTAGTTGTTGTTGTAGCTGTTATAGGTGTTGCTGAGGCTGTCAGCTGCTTGATGGACGGTTGCTGCAGCTTTTAATGTTGTTGTTGTTGTTGCTGTTGCTGTTGATGTGGCTGTTGTTGTTGCGGCTGTTGCTGTTTCAGCTTCAGTCGTTGCTGTTGCTGCCGTATCGGCTGTTCGATCTAGCTGGTTAGTAATGTTTGAAGTTGTTGTTGTTGTTGCTGTTGCTATTTCTGATATCGGAATCGTTGTGCTATTGCTATTGTTACTTTTGCTGTTGTTATTGTAGCTGCTGTTGCTGCTGCTGTTGTCGCTTTTGGTATTCAGTTGATGTTTGTCGTTGTTTTTGTTGCAGCAATGGCTCAACTCAGTTTTCGAACAACTTCGAATAGTGATCTGGCTGCTATTGCTGATGCAGTTGTTGTTGCTGTTGCCGTTTCTGTTGATGTTGCTGCTGCTGCTGTTGATGTTGCTGCTGCTGTTGTTATAGCTCGCTAAATGCTTGGCAATTCCGATGCTCAATTCCATTTCGATGATTTGCTGGAAATTTGATTAAGTTCTTTGTTTTTTTTTTTTTTTCTGTTTTTTGCTCTTTTGTATTTGTGTTTGCTCTTTGTTCGCGTTGTTGTTTATTGAATGGTGTCCTTGGCAAACGGGCGAACAAGGCTAACGCACAAAAAGTCCACGAAGAGTTGCTTGGCGCTCCTCGGCATTGAGCTGCTTTTGTGTTTTGTTGTTGTGCTTTTCTTTACTTTTAATTAATCAAAGTTTTCGCTATATATTGTAATTAAATACGGAAGAAGAGGTGACAAGTGTGTGAGTGAGCGAGAAGGAAAGAGAGAGAGAGAAAGCAAGAATTGATTACATTAGTTTTTCATAATATAAAGCATTTAAGTTTTCATCATCATTTAGCCAATCACCCGCCCTCCCTCAACCCTCACAATAATAACTAAATTTGCAACCATCAACCTACACACACACACACACGCACCCACACACACACACGTACAGCTGCTGCCTTGATTAGGGTCGGAAATAGGTAACTTTAAAATTTAATTTACTAGGCCCAGCAAAATGAGAAGGCGAAAATAAAAATAAAAATATAAGCAACAACTTATGAAACAATTCATGAATATGAGACGAGCTCGTTTCTTCTCTCTGTTGTTAAACCTCCCGTTAAACTGAGCTGGCTGACAGAATAACGATAGAAACCCATGTGAATGGAAAACATTTTCATCGCATCCATGTAGGCGAGATCGACGTGAAGAGCCAAAAATAGAGACTGAATCAAAAGAGCATCCAATCAAGCAATGCACAGCCCTCAATGCACTTGCAATACCACGCACAAATCTGCGCGCAGGGCATATCGAATGCGAACATAATATCTGCAATCAGTTCGAGGAAAAAACAAAACGTGAGAAGCGAAAAATACTCAAATGTTGGCCGTCAATCAAATTGATGGATGGCAAAAGGTAGAGCAAAATACATGTGCTTCCACATGCATATTATGGGTATCAGCGATTTTAGTAGCTCGTTACGGTTTCGTTTTACAGACAATAGGTGCAAAAATCTATTATGGCACGCCGACGGCGAGGCACGGACGAGGTCATCTAAACGCACACACACACACAGAGAGAGAGAGAGAAAAGGAGAGTGAGAAAGAGAGAGAGAGAGCTGTACACAAAGAGCTGTGAAAGGAATTGTGGCACGGGGCGACTAGGTGGAGAGGCAGTCAAAAAGGATAGCCCACAAGACCCTCCACTAGTTGTATGTGTGTGTGTGTGTGTGTGTGTGTGTGTGTGTTGTCGTCGCTCGGTTGGCAAATTGAAAGCGTGAAATTAAATGAAAATGATATAGCTTTGAAATTGAATTCCACAGAAATGCCGAAAGTTCAACCAACGCGCAGTACTCATGGCTAGCTCTGCTCTGCTCTACCACGCCCACACCGAGCCGCCCCCGTGCTGCTGCCCCTTATAGGTAGCGGTCCGGAACTTGAGCAGCGCGTAATTATCGCGCTAAAATACTTGCCGAGACGCAGGCGAGCACAAAGCACAGATTGGTTTCACCTCTATAAGCACGAATGCCATACGGCAAAAAAAGGCATTGCCTACTTTTAGGCGGCAGTTGCAGAGTCGAATATCAGTAATGGATTGCGTATGTGGGCAGTGCACATTGATTCGCATTTGAATGACCGGATGTGTCAGCAGTGCAGTCTCAGAGTTGACGTTGAGGTTTGCATGGCAATATCATATTGCATTACACTCAGCTCTCCAGGAACTCTGGAGGAACTCTGGCTGAAAATTATTCAATTCAACGTTTTGCTCTGTTGTTTCTGTTTCAAGGCAGCTTCAGTTGAGTTGCCAGCGAATTGCAGCTTTCAGCCTTGCTCTAGTGCAATCATTAGGCCGCACTGCTTGACCTGATTCGCCTTCGGCTGTCGGCTCTGCTCGGCCACGTTTAAGAGGCAAATCAAATGCTCAGAGTGCAGAGCGCGCACTTAGTAGAAGCACGTAATTTATTTGCCGTTAGCCCACGCACCGCCGTCTCGGCCGACTTGAACATTAACCAGCCGCCGCATTGGGATTTGAGCCGGCATTACTCCACCTATGGAGCCATGGCCTGGCCCCATAACTGTTAAGCTGCGCGCACACTAAGTTCAAAGTTTCGTATAATTTTTCATAAAGGGCAGAAGGAACAACAACAAGAGCTGGGCAAACAATAACACAAACTAAATGCCAGCTAGAAAGCCAACACAAGCCCAAGCCCAAGCAAATGGGGCAACTGGGGACTCGCTGGCGTATGAGCAATGTCCACATCATGCGCGATATGGGAGTTGTGGCAGCTCGGAAATGGCGTCTGCCCACCAACCCAGTCAACTGAGCCAACCAGCCAACCAAACCAGTCAACCAACCAACCAACCAACCAACCAACCAACCAGCCAGCCAGCCCCCTTAGGCGTGTTCGCCGGGAATTCTGATTCGAGCGGGCTGAATCTGTGCCCCAGCTGAAGCGTTAACTGTTTGCTGAAACCGCTAGTGAAAGCTCAATAAATTTGCTCCTGGATTTCATAGCTACAATCAGTTCCTCAAATTTGCTATGATTTATATGCAATGATAGGCTACAATGCTGAAGATATGAATGCCCTGGTAAATGAAAACAAAGAGCTCATTAAATGGTTGCCAAATTAAGCTGCTTAAGTAGACAAACTTGTCAACACTCATTAAGAGCTTTTATTGCTGTTGAAGCACATTAAAACTGTAATTTTGATTCAATCAACTTTGACGATCTTAAAAAGTTTGCTTAGCATCACTTAAGACTCAAATAAGTTGGCCAAGATGTTGAGCTGGAGCTGTTGCGGTCTAAGAGCAGCAGTCCTTCAGATAAGAAATTTGCCTTGTAAACTGAGATGTATAATATATACCTTATTATCTACATCTCTCTCTCTCTACCTATATCTCTCTCCATTCCAATTGCCAATGGCCACTGCTAACCCAAACCGCCTCATCTAACAATCGGTTATTTATCGATATACAAATTTATCGCTAAGCAAACGCGATAAGCAACTACGCAAGATATGAACTGCTTTAAAGTCGGCGCCCATAGCCAAGTGTTTCGAGCAACCTAATGCTGATTGAAATGCGTAACAGCTGCCACGGCCGCACAGCAAAGAAGGGTTAGGCCAGCCCTAGGAAAAGGGTTGGAGGAGATGAGCTGGCCGCTATGGCTGCAAAGTTGACGCCTATGTGAAAAGTATGCCCAGAACTTCAAAAAATTAAAACTTTTGCGTTGCAGAGAAATTCAGTCATGGAAATCGACATGACAGCTGAAATATGAGCGCGACAGGGTGCGAGAGCAGGAGTAGGAGATTAAAGCAGAGTGGGGCGTGGGGCGTGGGGCGTGCGATGTGGGTGGTGAAATGGTTTGGTCGCTCATGCGGGCGGCGGTTCGCCTGATAAGTTGCCTTAAATAAAAGCAAAATATGTTAATTTCAATTAATTGTTGGCGCGCGGCTAAAAAAAGAAATTGCCCAAAAAGTTTTCCTTTTTGGCGGAGCGGCGGGCCGAAGTTACTGAGCTGTTTTGGCACTGGGTCATTTCCGGCAACGGGTCGGATTGTTGGGGCTGCCATGGAACTGGAACTTCATAATTTGCCGCTATTTGTCAGTGCCAAAAGTGGTTTGTTGCAGCTAATAGCTGTTGGGGAAATTAATAAACACGAAGCGTTTTGAGCGAGAGCATTGCCACGCGAAAAATTATAAAGGAAAATGCTAACTGTTGAGCAAACAGAATCGAGCCAGCGCTGCAAGTTAACCGAGTGCTAATGCTATTGAAATTGCCAAAAAAAAAAAAAAAAATAAGAAAGAAAATATTTAAATGCAAAACATTGCGCCAGATATTTGGTCTAAGTTCGTTCGAAAGTTGTGGGAAAAAGTCAGTGAAAGGCAACTGGAAAATAAACTTGGGAATCAAATGATTTTGGTGAAAGGCCCGAAAGCGAATGAGAAAAGTTTTGCCCTTCTCTGCATTTGTTCTCCTCTTTCCTTTTTTTTTTTTTCCGCCTTTTCGAAATGCGCACGGTCCACGTGGACACGTGTCGAGCGGTTGGACGTGCAAAAGACAACAGTAAAATAACAATAACAATAATAACAACAACAMGCAGTCCAACAGAAACAATTTTCCAGTGCTCCCTTTTTCCAATTTTTTTTTTTTTTTATCAACGAACACAGTGCCATAAAAACCCAAAGCAAGTGGAAGCAGCAGGTCGCCAAAGCGGGTGAAAACTCTCAAGAAATGTCAACAGAAACCAGAAACAAACAAACAAAATGATGAAGAACAAGAAGAATAAGCATGAAAAAATGTAACAAAAAATTAGCCAGAAAAGAAAATTCTTTACTGCTGCGCCCCCGTGAGCCCTAACGTCAAATTGATTGTATATATTAGTCTATACTTATTTAGGTAACTCTCTGCAGAGCCAGAGCCGGAGCCTGAGCACGATACAAGGCCGTTAATGCCAGAAAGTGAAAAGTTGAGTACAAGCTACTTAAGAGCTTCACATTGGCCAGTGTTGGTTAACAAAAGTATATGATTCACTTTGGAGCAAGAGCATGCACTGGAAGTGCTATAGATTGAGGATCGATTCAAAGTAAATAGATCTTACAATTGGAATTTTGTAAGTTATATTTGATAAGAATTGTAGCTTCACTATGATTACCAAGGCAATTATAATCTGGCAGAGGGAGTATGAGTAAATTTAATATGAATTTGATGATCAATACTTTGTAGAGCTTTAAAGAGATTCACATTTGTTTGCCAAGTCAATTCGATTCTGCTACCAAAGTAAAGAGATCAAGCAGAGGGAATTTTATATATAACGTAGACTTTTATTGGTTGTATTTGATAGAGTTTGCAGCTCCACGCTGATCCGTCAGAGATAATCCATATTACCGAATTTTGTTGAACAAATTTAATAGACCCTCCAGTTTCATCCTCATTATCAAAGTAAATACATGGATATAGCAGAGAATGTTACTAATTGTATATTTAATAATTCTATATATATATACWGCTGCCTATAGATCTTGATTGCATTTTCTTGTTTTTAATCCCACATCCCACATGTATTTATTTTTTCGTTGCTCAACCAATTTCATTTAAATTTGGTATTTCAAAAATCATGTTTGTTTCTTTAGCTTTAGCATTTCAATTGTTCAAAGACAAAGGCTGAAAATACTTCAGGATATACATATAAATTTATATATATATAAAGTT